TCCCCAAACAATGTTATCTCAGGAGATTCATCGAAACCAAGTTTCTCTTCGTATCTGCATAATCTTTGTCAAATAGACGGCAGTTTTGATCGGACCAATCTTACTTTTCGACAAAAGCCTGCAATTTTGGGGTTGGAATTGCTTCGAGATCACAGAAGTTAATTGAGTCGGGTCATGAAATAAAACATTGTTAGCAAACTTATTGACAATACACATACAGCAAATAATATATATGAGTTGGTTTCACCCTATTTCGTGTAAATTGATGAAGGGCTGGCAATAGAATTCTCCTACAATGATTGGGTAGAGCTGACGTTTCAAGTCAATTTCACATTCTTGACATTCACATCTGCCCTGTAACCCAACGGCACTCGGGGCAATGTGGTTATGTGAAATTGAAGAGAAAGTATCAGCTCTACTCATCGGATTGTGGGAAAATTCAACTACCAATTCTTCATCACCTCAAACGAAATATGGTGAATTCAACACATAATACGCATACACACACACACACACGATCCAAAGCACTGAAGTTTGCTGTCTTTGTGTGCATTTGGTCACATCACAACCTCATTTCACTTTTGCTTCGGCAAACAGATGTCTTAAAAACAAAGGCTTTGAAAAGTAAACTGCCTTTTATTACCGCATCCAAGAGATTGGCCATGATGAAGATACCACGAAAGTTGTTGCGTTGCTTGGATGGGCTGGCGGAACGGTACGGGGAGTGTTGAGTAGGGAAGAGGGAGAGGAACAAAGGGAACGATAAGAATGTATTGGGAAATGGAAACATTGAATGAATGTGCAATGGGCCACTCCGTTCTTGGCGCTCGAAAGTGGCGGTCGACTTCATATTTTCTCTTTTCTGCCCAAAATGAACCGACTTATCGGCGACTGGAGATGACGTTTTTGCAGACTTTTCGGCTCAATCAACTTCGTCAGAGGCAGACTTCGCGCGCTGGTGAGCATCTCGGACGACAGACGCGACCGTCTCGCCGACGACGGCGACGGCAACGGCGACGGCGACGGCGACGACATCGAGACCGGTCGCCGGCGGCCAGTTGTGGTCTTGTCGGCCTCGAGGCCAGTGCCATGGCGGGACTCGGTTGAGGCCAAGAGTTGATCGGCCGGAGAGGCTGCGTCGGGCGGATGGCGCTCATT